ACAGTTAGCTGTTGTGAGCAGGAGCGATAATGAAAACCTTCGACAGGACAGAATCGATTCTATGTGAAATGGTTTATTGTCCTTATGTTAATTGAAACTCCATTACTGAAAATTGAGATCAGTTGCTACCATATTAATGTAGTCCTCTGCCAGTTTTCTTTGGTTTTTAACTTACTAGACATAGGCATTGAAAGTTATGATATGCTATTGCGATGATCTCGAGAATGTTGAATGTGCAAATGCGCCCATGGACGATCTTGTACCTCTGATTCACGCATAGAAGAAGATCGAAGATTTTCTAGCATCGTGAATTTGTAGAGAATCTTTTCCATACGAAACTTTTGTATTTCAAAATCAAAACTGAATATATTTCTTAAACTCTATCTTTCTTACGCTATAAACAGTAGGAGTAAAAAAAACTTATTCAAGTTCCAGGAACAAAGTAGATATGTATCTCATCAAACAAGAATGTATCAAATGAAAATTAATATAACGGGTTGTTCTAAATTTCATCTTTTATCTAGAAAGACGTGACCCGTAAAAATCTGCTACATATTTAGTGAAACCTACACTTAGGCTATTACTAGGACTACAATAAGCTTTTTACTTCTGTTATTCATAGGATAACAAAGGTGTATAACTTCAGTCGGCTTCGTAGTCTAGTCCGGGACAATTCCTTGTGTCCGTTATGGTGAAAGCAGTGTAATGCTTGGAAAGGTCTACTATGAGCGTATGACCTCTGTTGTCGTTATTATAAGTCATACCTACGTTCATTGTCCTATCAGTCCGGCATGGTTAGCTCTGCATGTATCCGTTTCAGACTCACGGGAGTCTCTCTGGCCGCGCGTGCGTGTATGGGCGATAATGAGTCGTGAGAAGTTGACAGCGTTGTATAGCAATGAGAATAAATTTATTTAGCAAAGAAGAAAGAACAAACAAATTTAGAGTTTCGTTTTTACATTCTAAAGACACTCTTTAGATAATTGAAGGTGTGGATGATTTATGGGGAGTGAAGGTTGTGCAATTTTAACAGCACATTTACGAAATTGACTTGCTTTTAAGTATTTTTTCATTGATCGAATCGAAGTTGTGGTAGGAAACAGCTAATTCAGGATGATTTGATGGCAGAGTTTTTGTCGTAATTTCAAGATTTTTTTCATACAATTCAAGTGCTTTTGAGTAGTCATCCATATTGTTATATACAAGATCGATATTATTATAGATAGTAGCTAATGTCGGATGGTCTTCTGGGAGAGTTTTCTGGGTAGGTTACAAGCGACTTTTCGTAAAATGAAGCCGCTTCTTTGTATAGCCCTTGGTCTCGTTTCATCCATCCAAGCTGGTTATATATATATATGTTTTATGACTACCGGCAGATGTCTGTTCTAGTAATACGTTATACAATTCTTCAGCCTTGTAGAATTGACCTATCTCAAGCAGCAATGTACCCATTCGATACCATCCGGTACCGTTTATATCTTCTCGTATACGGTCGGTTAGCTGACGAAGTTGTTGGTCGTCATCTGAGGTAAATTTAAAGTCCACTTGATAAAATGAACTTTTGCTGTTAATTTTTTGAACATCATTAATTCGAAAAATGGTGTGCATGGAGAAGAGAATTTCCTCTTCTTGCGCGAAATCACTCAGCTCTCGGATGAAAGCAAATGGAGTCGATAATATCATGGGATCTATGGTCATCTGAAAAACGATACGGACCATGCCGGTTATTCTTAAGGCATCTTTGACGAAATTGAGCGAAATATCTCGACTTTTACTGGTGGATAAAAAATTGTTGAAACATATAAGTCCACCTTTGTTTTTAACGACCTTTTCGAAGCCGGATGTCGATAGTTACTGTTCTCGATAAGCTAAAAAGGTTTTTCCTTGATATTGACTGACCTGTTTCTGGTGTAAATGTTTTATCTGTTGGAGAACGTCACAAAGATAGAATCCTATTTTAAAGATTACATCACCATCAAGTGTTCGTAAAGCACGATTGAGCATTTTGTATGTAAAGCATTTGCATGTATACCACCAAATAGCCAATGATGGATGCTAAGTGTGTTGAAATTGGCCGATAAGTTTAAGTTCTTTGGTATTGCCTTGGTACTCTTGTTGGCAAAAGGTGACCAAATCTTTTATGGCTTCTTGACCATACTCCATATCAAGGAGTATTTCCTTGAATCTTTGAGAATACATGAAGGAAGGTTCTAGCTGATTGAACGCCATTTGCAATGCTTGGCATATGGATTCGATTGATGTGTGAACACCTTTGATTTTTGTCCAATTTTTGGTCCATTCTTCATGATGTTGTTTGTTGCCACAAAAGATGTATATGACATCTAATTTTGGTATGTCTTGAATATCTGGTACACGATGCTGTCCAAGTGCACCAGAGAAGATAACAAATGATGTCTCCTCCTTATTTTTCATTGAGATATTGAATACATTGTTCGGCTGTTGTGCAAGCATTAACTTGATTAATGACATTGCGCAATTGTGCAAGTGTATGTTGACAGTCTTGATTTGCCACGTCAATATTTCCATCGACCCAAATGACCAAGTAATTTTCAGCCATGCGTCACCTTCGTTGTCCACTCATTTTGGATAAAATTTTTGCTGTCCAATCAAGAATCGAGTATGATGAACAATAGATTGTTGTTTGGACAAAGATCACGTTTTCTATTTATATACTTGATTCTCCCTCTTTTTATTCGAGATTTTTCTACAACGTTCAACGTGAGTGCACTTCTTTTTCCTTGACAATCAACGAAAAACTTCACCTAGTTTCAATTGAAAGTATAGTTGTTAAAAATAGATTACAGAGAAAAAAGCCAACAAAGTCATAATTTGTATTGTTATTCTTTTCAACTTTTCTTTGCTTTTCATCTAAATAATAATCACTTGAGAGCATATGCGTTGAATACCATCTCTTATTAATTAATGATTTTTTTTGATCGATTCCTTTGAAAAAGACTTTTTTCTCATTCTGATGGGAACAAAAAAAAGCAAAGACATCGTCAGTTGGACTTTTTTATTATGATAAAATGGATATTCTGATAATGTGAACAAAGCAAGAAGAAAGTTAATTTTTATATTCATTGAAGCAACATTTTCTTTACTTTGTGAAATATAGTACACATCATTAACGATGAATCGAACTAAAAACAACAGTTCTCATTGTGCTTAATTCACAGCGATATGCATTGTGCCTCATAATTACTCTAGAGATCATGAGTTGTCTGATTGGAGTTTGAATATGATTGAATATTAAAGTAAGTAGTATGAATTCGAAAAATGAATGGTACATTCGAATGAATGCTATACATATTAATACATAACAAACAATCAAGAGTTTCAGCTGTGCATGAATTCCATGAGTTCTGAACTATTGGGTGTGGTGTGGATGAAAGTTTGCTTGTGAGGGTGTAGATTTCGGTTTCGGTTCTCTCGACATCCACAACTGCACCCATATTTGAATATCCACGGAAAATATTGTGTTGTATTTTTGTCATATCTTTCGCGACAGTTCTAGTATTCCATATTTCTGGATGTAATACATCATTGCAATTGTTTAAAATTTGTGGATAAACAAAGCGTAATGGTGTCCATTTCGTTTGAAACACTACGGTTGATCTATCACCTAAATTTCATCAAATTATTGGAGTTGCTTGAGTTTCATGAGTTCAGAACTCATAAAGTCCGAACACATCTCTCGGTGAACTCTAATTTATATTTTATTCATTGGAAATATGAGTAAAATAGAAAAAGAAACTTCGTTTTCTTTTGGTTTTCTTACTGCTGATCTTTCATTATTCTCTACGATTTATAAAGAAATAACATTCAAGTTTTCTTTGTTTACATTCAAGATTCCCACAATTTTAACGTGTGTCACAATAGTAATGAGTAAACTCTTATACTATGCAGACGTGCATCAGTAGAACTATGTTTATAATAAATGTACTTCTATGGACAACATATTAGAATACATGTTTTAATTGAAAACGATGAATATTATTGACAATATACTCGGATCTCCTCAAGAGCTTTTCGTCACTACCTCTCTATGTTTTTCTATCGTGTTGATGAAATTTGAATCAATAAAAATGCACTAAAATCAATTCAGCACTATTTATTAGACTTCATTCGTTTTATTTCTTCATGTTCATTGATTCATAAGCATATAATATCGCAATAATCTAGACTACATATGATTAGCATCCTGTTGAAAAGATCGTTAAAATCGAACGAATGTTCAAAAACCTGTTCTTCAGCGATTTCATTTTTTGGTGTAACAAAAACATTTTAAAATTTTTCATGATGTATATAGCGGTTTTTCGAAAGATTTCTTCGTTTGGAAAATGGTTACATTGTGGCCGCAGATAGAAATATGTAGTACATATACGATAAAAATGCGGCTACATGTTATCATCTGATCTGAACCCTTAATATGCCGTGTACGACACAGCGTAAATACCGTCATAGATCATGAACTAGGTTTACGACAAAATACTCAATGTAAGCGTACCATATTAGATCGTTCAGGGCCGTATACTAGCATTGTAAGAAAGCACCTGACTGATACAAATGTGATCGATGTTTGCCATGACCTTCATTTTGAAAAAAAACAGTACGATACGATATGCAATATTTTTCATCAGAGGTAGTATTTGAATTCTCGCATTGTGCTCAGTCAACAAACGAAAATAAAATGAGTCGTGATCTATTAATTAATCATTCATTCATCGTTTCCTTTTGCACATACAGCGACATATAACGCAAATAATGAAACATACTGAACTTTTACATTGCTATCAGAAAATATTCTATACAAATTTAATTGCTTCAAAATTATGATTTCTTAGATTATTGATTTGTCTCGTTTAGATTCTATTTTTGTATTGTATTTTTACTTTGAATCAAAAAAACTATCAAGTACTGAATAATATTCGAATGTCTGTCACTTGTACACAAAGTCATTTTCAATATAGAAATATACTTTATTCTTCAATATAATCTAAAAATTTTGTAGCACATAAAACGCATTTGTAAATTATTTGATTAAAAAAAAAACAAAGAAACAAAAAAAAGCTTACGACACTCGGTATTCCCAGGCGGTCACCCATCCAAGTACTAACCGAGCCCGACGTTGCTTAACTTCAGTGATCGGACGAGAACTGGTGTATTCAACGTGGTATGGCCGTAAGC